CTTGGATAGGTAGGATCAACATAGTAAAAAATGGCAATCTTGCTAAAAGAAGTCTACAGATTCAATGCAATACCCATCAATATCGCAGCACAATTCTTCCCAGACCTTGAAAGAACAATAATCTATTTTGTATGGAAAAAGACCAGAATAGCGAAAACCACCCTGTACAAGAAAGGAGCTTCTGGAGGCATCACAATACCTGACATCAAGCTCTATTATAGAGTGTAATCCTGAATCAGCTTGGTACTGGCACAAAAATAGACAGGTAGACTAATGGAATCCAACTGAAAACCCTCATATTAACCCACACACGTATGAACATCTGATCTTTGGCAAAGAAGTTAAAATTATACAATGGAAAGAAGAAAGCACTTTCAACAAATGGTGCTGGCATAACTGGATGCTGACATGTAGAAAACTGCAGATAGAACCATTATCTATTGCCATGCACAAAAATTAAGTCCAAATGGATCAAAGACCTCACTATATATACAACCACACTGAACCTCTAAGAAGAGAAAGTGGGTGGTACCCTTGAACAAATTGGTACAGGAGACCACTTCCTGAACATAACACCAGTAGCACAGACACTGAAATCAACAACTAATAAATGGAACCTCCTGAAACTGAGAAGCTTCTGAAAGGCAAAGGACTCAGTCAACAAGGCAAAAAGGCAACACACAGAATGGGAAAAGATCTTCACTAATGCCACATCTGACTGAGGGCTGATCTCCAAAACATACAAAGAACTGAAGAAGCTAGCCACCATAACGCCAAACAATCCAATTAAAAAGTGGGGTACAGAAGTAAATAGAGAATCTCACTAGAAGAATCTAAATGGCTGAAAGGCTGAAAGACACTTAAGTAAGTGGTCAACATCCTTAGCAATCAGGGAAATGCAAATCAAAACAACTCTGAGATACCATCTTACTCCTGTCAGAATGGCTAAAATAAAAAACACCAATGACAGTTTATACTGAAGACGATGTGGAGAAAAGGGAACATTCTTTCACTGCTGGTAGGAGTGCCAACTCGTACAGCCACTCTGGGAATCAGCATGGTGGTTCTTCAGGAAAGTGAGAATCAGTCTACCACAAGATCCAACAATTACACTCTTAGGCATATACCCAAAAGATACACATTCATACAACAAGGATATCTGTTCAACTATGTTCATAGCAGCTTTATTTATAATTGCCAGAATGTGGAAGAAACCTAGATGTCTCAACTGAAGAATGGATAAAGAAAATGTGGTACATTTACACAATTAAAAAAAAACAATGGAATCTTGAAATTCACAGGTAAATGGATGGCACTAGAAGAAACCATACTGAGTGAGGTAACCCAGTCACAAAAAAACAAACATGGTATATAGTCACTAATATATGGATATTAGACATAGAGTAAAAGATTACCAGCCTACAGTCCACACTTCCATTGTAGCTAGGAAACAAAGAGGAGCCTACATGGTCCCCCACATAAGGGGAAAGGTACAAGGTCTTCTGAGAAAATTGGGAGCATGGGGTGAGGAGAGAGGGAGTTAAGAGAAAGAGAAAGGGAGAAGAGGCAGGGAGAGGACATAAGGGAGCAGGATGATTGATTCAGGGGAAGAATAGATGAGAGCAAGAAAAGTGACCATAATAGAGGCAGCCATTATGGGTCTAAAGAGAAATCTGGCACTAGGGAAATGTCCAGAGGGCTACAAGCATGACCCCAACTAAGAATCTAAGCAATAGTGGAGAGGCTACTTTAAATGTCCTTCCCCTATAATGAGATTGATGACTACTTTGTATGCCATCCTAGAGCCTTCTTCCAGTAGCTGATGGAAACAGAAGCAGACACCCACAGCTAAACACTGAACCAAACTCCTGGAATCCAGTTGCAGAGAGGGAGGAGTAATGAGCAAAGGAATCAAGACCAGGCTGGAGAAACCCACAGAGACAGTTGACCTGAACAAGGGGGAGTTCATGGACACCAAACTGAAAGCTGGGAAACAAGCATAGGACAGAACCAGGACCCCTGATCATGGGTGTCAGTGAGGAAGCCTGGGCAATCTATTGGGCCTCTAGTAATGGAACAGTATTTATCCTTAGTGTACGAATGTACTTTAGGAGCCCATTCCACAGAGAGGGATACTCTCTCAGCCTAGACACATGGGGGAGGGCCTGCTCCAAATGATATGACAGATGTAGGAGGAAAACAGAACTCCACCATTAGCCATGTGACTTATTAGAGGCGCATACAGATGAGGCAACAAAAGGGCCGTCTACCACACTGCTAACCACACCCACTTTAGGCATGATTAAAGATGTATACAGACGTAGGAGGTGAACTACGTCACTAGCCAGGCCCACTTTTGGGCATGGCTAGGGGCGTTACGAAGGAAGGTATAAAAGACTAAACAACAGAAGTCTCGCTTTCTTTTTTCGGCTTTCCAGCTTCCAGTTTGGCGGTGGAAAACTACTCGGCTCATCTGGGTTACTTGTTTGTCTCTTGTGAGTAATTTCTACAATAAATACTTATTTTTACTTTCAGTAAGTGTGCCATTTATTGTTGCAGCATCAGACAGACTTTGAAGATCCCCCATGGAAGGCCTCACCCTCCCTGGGGAGCAGAAAGGGAATGGGATAGGGTGTCAGTAGAGGCAAAGGAGGGGAGGGAGAGAGAACTGGGATTGACATGTAAAGCAAGATTGTTTCTAATTTAAATTAAAAATATAGAAGAAAAAATTAGAATGGAGTTACCCTATGATAGGATGATAAAGCTCCTACTAGATAGCATAGGCTACTGTATAAAAACCCAGGGAATAGAACAAGTTACCTTTCTTTGGAGATAGACACCCCAATTACAGGACATTGCCAATCTTCTTTCATGCCCTCCAGAATTTGATAGTAAGCCAGAGGCATCAGATGGCTGTAGGTAAACAGTACTTTTCAGACACATCAGGAAGTTACACACACGAACTCATAGCAGTTTTGATAGCATGATAGAACTATGCAAGCTCACGGTAGACAAAATCTCAACAATAAAGGGGATGCAGGCACAAATACTGAACACCACTTGTTGCTGAGTTGTGGGCAACTGATTGATTCTTGGAGAGGGAGCGTTGGCTCCCTGATTTTCTAATAAAGGCACTTAAAATTGTAAACATTTCTTTTAGAATTTATTTTTAATTTTTTTTCACATTTCAAAGCACACATATTTTGTGCTTGTGTTTGTCATGAATATGTTATGGCACATGTATGGCTGTCAGAGGAGAATCTGTGGGTGTGAATTTTCTCCTTCTACCATGAGAGTCCTGGGGACTGAATTCAGGTTGTAAAGCCTGGCAATCAGTGCCTTTACCCACTGAGCCAGCTAGTCATCCTAGAACTGCTTTTGATGTATCTCAAAGGTTGTGAAAATGTATGGTTTCATTTTTTACTTGATTCTATGAAATTTTAAAATTTTTCCATGCTTCTTTTTCAATAACTCACTGGCTTTTTAAGAAATATTCATGTAATTGTGTGGTTTCTGTAGCCTTTCCTGCTATGGGTTTCTAATTGTATACTGTTATGACCTAATAATATAAGAGACATAATTTCAATTCTTTTATATTTGTTGGGGCTTCAATAATGTGATCTATTTTAGTGAAAGGCCCAATTGCTGCTTTAGGGTGGAATGTTGTGTAAGTATCTGTCAAGCCCATTGGACACACAATGCGTTTTAATTCTGAAATTCCTTTGCTGTTTTGTCTTGTTTTGTTTTTAGAATTGACAGTCTACCTAGAGTTGAGTTTGGGTTTGTTAGCATGCAGATCATAGCTACCCTCAAAAGATGAGTAAGCAATGACATCACCAAGGCAGGTTAACCCTAAGTCCAAAAACTCCCAGATTTTCACACCCTGGATGGCTAATATCTCAATGAAGCACTGTCTTCTGAGCATGTTGGGGTGTTGAGGGGAAGGAGAGCATGTAAATCTGTTATTGGAGGACTCATCTCAATGTTCCCTAATTCTGCTCAGTGCCAGATAACCTGCAGAACAGATGAGCCATCAGAAATGTCCCAGAAATATTTATTCTAAAATTATAGCAAATATGTGGAAGTCTGTGCTATAGGCAGATAATACTTGAACACTTCTCAATACTGCATTCTATTTTCTAAAGGGTAATATTTATGAAAGGCTTTAAAGTAAAGATATGAAAAAATGTAATAGTATAAAAGAGGGCTAAAGCAGCTGGTGCAGCAGGTAGGATCTGTCCACAAGGTGGCAGAGCATCTCCACTGCTACAAACTTACAAAGTGACTTTTTGGTTGACTTCTGTGAGAGCAGCTGCAGTCAGCAGGCTTCTGTGCAGACAGCTGAAGAACCCGCAGTGCTGTGGAGGACAGAGGACGTGAGCTGACCACAGAAGCGTCTTGCCTTTCTGAAGGCCGCAGTCCACAGGGAGAGCTATGAGGACACTGACTGGACCTTTGTTCCTGTGCTGGTGGTTGCAGCTGAACCGTGAGTGAGAGCTTTGGAGAAACAAAGCATTTTTGGCAATGTTCATTCAGTCTGAGGAGCAGACTGATTCCCCCAGATTGCCTGAAATCACTATAGGAGGAAAAACAAAGTGTGGGGAATGGTGACCTCGTGGTCTTCCTGTTTTTCCTTTTGCACAGGTGTGAGCAGAGGAGAGCACCTGGTGCAACACCCTTCTCTCCTGAGTGTCCAGGAGGGTGGCAGTGCCCTTATCAACTGCACCTACACAGACACCACCAATTATTACTTCTACTGGTACAAACAAGAGCCTGGGGCAGGTCTCCAGTTGCTTATAAATGTCCTTTCAAATGTGGATAGAAAAGAAGAACAAGGACTCATTGTCCTACTGAATAAGAAGGACAAACATCTCTCCCTGAACATCACAGCTGCCCATCCTGGGGACTCAGCCACATACTTCTGTGCAGCAAGTGCACAGTGCTCCCCAGGTGCCTGCTGCATGCACACAAACCTGTGACCACAAAAGCAGACGTCTTTCCACCTTTGAGTTGAAAATATTTCTGAATTATATTAACAGTTGGATATTTTTAAACAACCTGAAATCCTGTTTCTAAAGATACAATGAATGTTAGAAAATTTTGTATTAACTCCAGATGAAAGTGAATTCTTTGGTGTGGTGGTTCCAGAACCAACTCCAAAGATCCATTTAAATCCAATCCCTCCATTAAATGAACTCAGTGTCATTAGTACAGAATGTTCATCTTGGTGGGAAGGCTCTTAACTTTTAATAACTATTTATTGTTTCTTATTAGAACCTAGTAGACAAAAGAAGCAAAATACAAAATGAAAAGTAGTTAATGTGTCCTCCAATCCTTTCACACAGATAAATCTGTGTGTGTGTGTGTGTGTGTGTGTGTGTGTGTGTGTGTGTGTGTATAAAAACAGCATATGCTACATTTGGTTCCAGCCATCCACTAGGAGTTTTGGGACATGCCACCTGCTAACTGTGTCTACTGCAGAATTAAAGGCAAATGACAGACAAGGCTTTGGTGCAGTTTGCACAGAAACCACCAGAGATCACCGCTGCTCTAGATGTGGTTTCATTTCATTTGCATGGCGACGTCCCAGTTGAACCAGCCTACTTCCTCTTCAGGCACACACACACACACACACACACACACACACACACACACACACACACAATTCTGTTTTACAGAGTTTCTTGCCTATTAGAGAATAGTTTCTAGAAAATCTTTCAGGTGCCCAGCCCTGTAAGATAGGGTGTACTGCAAGAAGCAAGAATCATTTCCTTCTACAAGCATGTTTTCTGTCATCTATTTCAATATTGTGATCCTCTTAACTTTCGGTAAGTATTCTTTTCTTCTAAGTATTAATGATAGTTCATTTTTCTAAACGTTGAAATGACCTTCATCCATCTTATCCTGTAACGAATCAATCTTATTCCTGTCTAGAGAAGAGCAATGGAGAGCCCATAACTCAGACCGAAGGCCCAGTTACTCTCACAGTGGGGGCACCTCTGATCCTGAACTGCAACTATCAAACTTCTTATTCAGAACCTCTGCTTTTATGGTATGTACAATCCCTCAACAAAGCCCCTCAGCTGCTCCTGAGAAGCGCCACAGACAACAAGAGGACAGAGCAGCAAGGGTTCCATGCCACTCTCCATAAGAGCAGCGGCTCCTTCCACCTGCAGAAGTCCTCAGTGCAGCTGTCAGACTCTGCCCTGTACTACTGTGCTCTGAGTGACACAGTGAGGGAAATGCAGGGGACGCTGCACACAAACCAAGATGTAGGAGGCTGAGGGGAGGGGCCCTGTGAGGGAGGGCTGTGTGACTCTCTCAGTCGTGTTGCCTTAGCCTTCACAAGAGCAGCAACAAACCACAGACACCTGGAAGGTCATGAATTAAATTATTCTGAAGCAAGATAGGGTAGAAGTGAGTGTTTGGTTGAACCAACATTGAGATCCACAAACTCAGTGTTCAGCCAGAAAGGCTGATGAGCCCTGCAGAGTGCAGAAACTCTCACAGCAAACATGTCCAGGGAAACCCTGATTATAATTAATCATCACAAAACCAACTTTTCAAAATCCTCATGGATTCTGTGTTCCTCTCTCACACAATTATGACTAAAAGAAAGGCATGCAATATTTTATCTGTGAATCTACTTCAGTCCTCACAATTGAGGCTGTTCTTGGGTTCATGTTGCAGAATTCAACCTAACTCCCACCGACCTTCATTTCATGAGGCTGCTTAAGAGGCTGAGATGTGACACGACTCCTGGTGAGGTCCTGAGAGTCACTCCTCACTACATACACTGAATGAGGATACAATCCAGTTAGGGAAAGACATGTCCATGATGTCTTTCCTCTTCATGGCGATTCTCCCCTGCTGTCATCCGACCTTGGACCTAAGGATGTGTCTGTTGTGGTCTCTCACCTTGAGTTACACTTGGATTCTCTGATAATTCTGAACAAGGAAGAAAGACTGGGATTTTGACTGACCCCAGGATTAAACAAAACATTAAGCTAAAATATAACAACGTTCAGTATTTTCTCTACTGCACAAGAAAGATAGTGTTAAATAAGGATGCCTCTAATAGAAAAAGTTTGTCTGCATGTACACAGAGCAGTAACATAAACACTGTGCTTTATGATGAGGGGGGAAATGGAGCAACAAACCCTGTTTCTGAGTCAACAATAAATATTACCTTGTGTTTTTATCATTGACCTCATGAGTCCAACTGAGCAATGCATTAAGCAACCCACTGAGATAAGAATGAGGATATACAGAGTTTGACCCTCCACCTTTGCAGGTTATTTTGGGTTTTATTTTTCCTCCCAAATCCATGTTTCCTCCTTAACTGTGCTGCCCTGCACTACAGTAGTTTTAACCCCATGAGCTTCGTCATCCAGGTTCATTATTTTCAGCATCTTACTAGAGTCAGACTCTGCATAGAAACTGGAGACACCAGTGGGCCAGGAGGGAAGCTGAGCATTTCTTCTTCCCTTGGATATTCAGCTCTGGTGGTCCTACAGAGCATGTGAGGAAGCTCTTTTTTCACAGCCCCAGACCCCACCACCTTATCTTGCTCCCTCTGACTGAATGTTATAATGGCTTTTGTGGTTATTAGGCCATGCCTGCATGTTCTGTCACCATTTCCCAAGACCCTGAATCCCACTCCCTGTGCTCTACACAGCCCCACTCATGAATGTTCTTCTATTCCCATATGAACATGCCTGCTCTGCTCAGGACTACACCAGGAACTGGAGGTTAAGGTGGAATCCTACTATAGCTCCCACAGGGTGTATCAGCATTTTGTTTCTGTAAACCATGAGTCACACATATACAAAGATGGCTGCACTTGATTTGGCTTCTACTATGATCCTAACTCTTAACCTCCTCACTCACTTGCCCATAGGATGTCTTCTACTGTGATTCAAAATGCTAATGTCATGCAATTCTATGATCCCTGTCTTGCCCACATCTACTCTGCAGTTTTGAAGGACTTTCATAAGTTGCATTCCAAACAACTGTGTATCTAGATAAGTGTGTCTTCTCTTTCCTTCATCATTTTTTCTACTCAGTCCACATTGTGTAATTCATTGATTCTTGTGTTAATTTTGCCCAGAAATTACCTCATAGACACATTCTAAAACAATGTTTTCAAAACCATCCAAGCATCCTAGTCAAGTTAATGCAAGATTAATCATTATGACATCCAGTTATGAGAATTCATCCCATATGAAAAAACCTCCATTCTTCCTTTGTTTTATCGCCACGTGACTCTAAGCTTGTCCTAAATAACACGAGCTATGCCAGGCATGGTGACATACTCTTTTAATCTCAGCACTCAGAAGGTACAGGCAGGAAATTGGTCAGCTGGTCTACATAGCAAGATTTTGACCTGCCAGAGCTGCGTAGTGAGACACTATCTCAAATAAAAATAAATAGTGTGAGCTCTGAGACTAGGGTTATCAGTCAGTAAGCATGAACTTCTGAGTCTGAACCCATGTAAAAAGGCTGTGATTAGTGGTGGATGTTTGTAATGTCTTCTACTGTGATGCAAAATTCACATGAAAAACACACATGTATGTACACCTTCACACATGTTCACACACACAGCATGCATACAAATATACATAAACATTCATATATGTATAAAGATATATTATGGAATAATAACAAAATCATAATTCATCAGGTAAATATTTAACACTAATGCATACCCAACACATATCCCCAAATTCAATTATTACAACTCTGTTTTGTGTAAATTCCAAGATTTACAAGCAGCGTTGTTTTTATTAAGAGGTGGGTTAGCCCAAAACATAAGCTTGAAATATTTATAAGGTAATATGTATTTCCTTTTACAAACACATACTATTTTATTAGCATATTAATGATTCAAAGAAAGGGCTTTCATTATGATGTTCTACACATGGGGAAACTGCCACTAAAAAGAAATGTAAATCAATTAATTCCAGGGTGTAGTTGATTTTGTCACTTCAGAATAGTAGAAGGTAGAAGAAGAGAGCATCCATGCTTGAAGATCAGGGGAAATAATTCAAAGGTTTAAGGAAGTTTTCTTTTTTAAGAACACTTCTAAATAATTTTTTATATTTGATCATATTCATTTTCCTCCTCCAACTCCTCCCAGATTATCCCACTTCCTACCACCCCATTTCATATTATTTCTCTCTCACTAAAAAATGCAAAACCAAAAACATGGACCCAACCAAAAAAACAAGAAGCATTTTTTTTTAAAAAGAACAGAACAAAACAAAACCAACTGGATACTACTTTGTGTTGTACAACAATACCTGAGCAAGAAACCTGTCCTTGAGTGTAGCTAATGCATCCAATACCACTCCATTAAAGGAAACTGATGACCCTCTCCCAGAAACTATCAATTGCAAATAATTTCTTGTTTGGAGGTGGTACTTTGTGCCAACTTCCCCTCCCCCACACTGGCTATTTGAAGATAAGTGCCTATTAATGAAGATACCATGCACTTCAAACACAGGACTTGGAGGAGTCAAGCTGGATATGACCTAGAAGCCTTCTCCCTGAGCACTTACTTTCATAGTACTAAGAGGTGCTACTCAGGATGCCAATAAAGAAAATTAATCAATGCTTCTATCCTGATGCCTACAGACCACTATGACCAGCAAAGTAAAATATCTCCAAAGATGCAATAGTGCCACTTACTTCTTGGCAGTAACCAACCTTACCAGCTGTCTAAGCAGATTTATGACTCACTCAATGGGAAGGAATTATTGCCTAGAACTATAACCCTAGCAACTATCAGTGACTGGGGAGGCACATGAAGTCTAGAAGAGAAACCAGTGTAATGTCTAACTGCATTCTTAATACTTATCCTTATGCCCACAGTTAAGTGTAGCTCTCACCTCTCATCTAAGAAGCTTCTTTTCTCACATGATGGAGGCCATCACAGAAATCCATATGTGGTCAAAATGTGGAGTTCCCAGTCCCAGTTGATGGATCTACATCACAAAACCTACACCTAATGCTCAAGAACACCGTCGAAGAGGGGCTGGAAAGATGGTAAGAAGGTCAGTTGAGAGAGTATATCTTCTTTACATGACAAGGAACCTGCACCCATGATTTCTCAACAATATAGCTGGCTAAACAACACCTGAAAAAATGAATCTATTGACATGCCACAATGGATGGGGAAAGTTCATGAGGCTCCATTCCTAGATGAAGAGCTAAAGGCAATTCATTGATGCTGAGAAACCGAGAGTCAGTCTTCCCCAAAGATGAATGCCCTACGTGGTTGTCCAACACTTTGTTCAATGATTTGTCAGCCTTAAAGACACTGCAGTTTTGTGAGACCCAGTTCAGTTTTTGCCAGAATTCTGATCTACAGAAATTACAGATCAATACATAGATGTTTTTTGTAAGTTCCTAAGCTTGTGAAGATGTGTTACACAACAACGGGAAACACATACAGAGTTAATGAAGTGATTAATGAGTGTTCATGATACTTATGACCTATCACAACATAAGAATGCTCAAAATGTAATGAAATGTTTATAGACTTTTCTCCAATGTAACTACATCTCTAAAATTACACACAATGTTATCATAATGCAACACAAATGAAAAATTAATGATGCTAGAAAGAATGGCTGTGTTATTTTTTTTCTCTCCATTGAAAATGTTATAAATATGGTCTCACATAAATAACTAGTGAGGAATTATGGAAGCAAAAGAGGAAGGATAAAATTATGTCAATAAAATAAGTAATAACATATTATACAACTTTCTGAATTTTGTTGTATTCTCTTAAAATTTGACATCTAGTAGAAATTTATTTTTATAAAATTTCCTGTGTGCCTATTTTCAAACCATAGATTGTATACTTTTCTTTATATGTATCATCTAAAAGATTTACAAAACACAACCCCTCCCCTGTACACTCTCATAAATCTTTGAAATTCAACCTTGGGAAGGACAGGAAGGATGATTGAGCATGCCATGTAATTGGGAACTTGTCTTTAATTTTTTCTTTGGCCCCCAGGGGGTGGTATTGCATAAGGAGGAAACTGCAGAACTACTACTTAAGGGCAAGTTCTAGCTTTTGTTAGGTTGTGACAAGAAGTATCTCCAACCAGAAGCAGGTAGATGAAGGGTCCCTTCACTGTCTGGGAGAGGACAAGTAGATTCCCTGTCATTCTATTAGACCCAAAGTTAAACTATAATCCCCACCTGTCCAAGGACCAGGCAACTTCCTGGAAACCTGGGAATTGTCCTTTAAAAAAATACCTACCCAAGAATGAGGTAACTGTGAGGTTCTGGGAGTCAGATTTCTTTGAAACTAACAGCAAAGCCTCATGTGAAAGTACCATGCCTTATGGATTTACCCATGTAAGTTCCACCAATATGTGCCTTGAGGCCATTACCTGGAAAGTTTCCAGTTGATGGCTGGAGAGAAAAAGAGGCAATGTGATAGCGTTTGAGTGAAGGGGCAGAAGAGAAGAGAGAAGCAGATCGACTATGGCAAGAACATAAGCTAGTCTTTCTGAGTCTTGAATGTGCACACCCTCATGGGGAGGATAGCAGGTGTCTTCCTTGGTCAATCTCCACAATTTTTTGAGAGAGTCTCTTAATGAACCTAAGCATGCCTCTTAGGCCAGGCAGTCTGGACAGCAATCTCCTGGGAGTCATCTGGCTCTGTGCCCCAGTGCTGGGATTACAGGAATGTGAGACCATGATCAGCTTTTATACACATGCCAGGGGGTTGGAGCCAGATTCTCTTACTTTCATAGTCATCAATCTATAGAGCCATCTGCCCCACCCCTAAAATTATTTTCATGTAAACTTCCCAAGTTAGCATTTTGTTTCACTCAAAATATTTAAAATTACCTATTAAAGTAGAAAGAAAAATTGCAAAAATCAAAGCATTAACATTTTCCGTGAAATTTAATGAAAACCAAAAAAGGCATGTTCAAAACACTCAATTCTAGGTCACTGAAATGTACAATAGGTACAGCATGTTTTTTGAAGCTCAGGCTAATCTTGAAGTCACTACAACGTAGCCCGATCTGGTCTTAACTTGCTGCTGTCCTTTTGTCCCAGCCTCTCAAGTTTTGAGATTACAAGTTTACACTGTCATGCCATATGGTATCACTCTTTATGCAGGTTGGTCAATGTATAAAAGCAGTCTTAAGCAACTTCTGTGAATACGGTCCTGATTTTCGAT